CGATGTTGTGGAAATGAAGGCATTAATTCAGTTTCACAAGGTAATGGTGGTTCTTTAAAATATGAACTTCGTAAACAATCTTCAGCCGTTGCTCTAAAATAATAAAAACTGTCAATGATAATCTTTATTAATGTTCATACCGTTTGCTTGGATTATACATAAACATAAAATTCATAAGACGTAAACCAGCAGTAGATAACCATGAAAATGTTTGTTTAACATTATTATATGGTTGTTGACGTAAAGTAAAATTTTTTAATGAAGGTAATTCATTTAAACCTGGCCAAATTTTTTCTGTTGGCGTTCCAAACATATCAATAATTAAATCAATTTGTTGAATTTCTGAACGACCAGGTAATAATGGTCGATGACATAATAATTCACCAAGTACACAACCTGCTGACCAAATATCAATTGCTGTAGTCTGATATTTTGAACCTATACAAAAAAATAATAATCATATATAAATAATTTGTTTCTTTTCTCGTATACCAAATAGAAGTTCTGGTGCTCGATACCAAAGTGTAACAACCATTGGTGTCATCGCACCATTTGGTAATGTAAATTGTCTAGCTAAACCAAAATCAGCTATTTTCAAACAGCCACTATCTGTTAATAATAAATTTGATACTTTAATATCACGATGTACAATAAAACGTTTATGTACATAATTTAAACCACGAAATAATTGTAAAGCAATACATTTCACTTGTGCTTCAGTAAATGGTTGTGACATATGATCAAGTAAAGATGCAAGATCTTGTTCACAATAAGTCATAACAAGAAATATTGAACGTAATGATTTACCAACCGCTACTTCACGTAATTCAACAATATTTTCATGACGTAAATTAAGTAATAGATTTATTTCACGCATTGAACTTATTGGTAAACCCCATTGTTCATTTTCCATACGAACTTTTTTTAATGCAACAATTTCTTGACTGATTTTATCACGACCACGATAGACAACACCATATGTACCTTTTCCAATACAATTTAATTTTTCAAATTCAGATACTGGTCTAAATAGATATTTTGAAGAAAATTAGTAGTCAAGAGCATCTCAATGTCACCAATACTGCATATATCTTACCGGCATGTACCAAAAAGAGAAGAATCAGGAATTGTTATAGGCTGATCTGTAAGCATTGAATAAATTGTTGTTTTGTTCTCTTCATTAATACTATTATTTGCTCCTGATGAAGAAGTCATCTATATAATTCTAAAGAAGTAAAAACAAGTCACATCTCTTTATATCATTCATTTGCATATACTCTATCAATTGAATAAATGAAAATCAGACAAAATAAATATTTTTCCGTTGGTCAGTATTATAACTGAATCCAACATTCGCAATGGGTCGGTTTTATTCCGAAAAAAATATAACCATCATACACACATATATAGGTATATCTGTCTAATACTACATAGATACGTTTTTTTTCTCTCGGCCTGGCTCGAACAAATAGAAAAAAGTTACACATATATAGGCAAAGTTTGCACAAAGAGAAAAAAAGAAGAACAACACGATGGTTTCTTTTTTTTTTGAGAAAATATAGTTCGCAATCATGTGAGAAAGAGCCAAACAAACAATAATGAAAAAAGGAAAGAACAACAAGATGAACACACGCACACACAAAAAATAGAGAACAAAAGACATGAATGCCAATATATGTACAAAAGAATGAGAACAAGAAATAAGTCGAACTCTGGAAAAAAAAGTTAGAACCAATATATATATGTATATTGCACACAGGGTCGAGTAAAAGAAATCAATGATATGAAATAAGGCTTTAGGAATAAGATGTCTCTCGTCTTCATAGGTTCACTGAAAAAGCACTAAAATAAAGGAAGAGAGAGAGAGAGAGGAGAGAGGGGGAAAAGGGAAAGAAAAGAAGACAACAAGGTATGCACGCAGAAAGAAATTACTGATATTTTTTATACGTGTTTACAGAAAAAAAGGTCTTTTTTATCTTTTTTTTTTGGTTGATTTTTTTCATAGAATTTTTTCGATTTTTTTGTGTTGTTTTTTTTTCTGCTGATTACATAGATGGATAGATTAAGAGCGTTTTTTTTTCGCATAAAGAAGAAAAGAAGAAAAAAAATAGGAATACGAAAGGAAAGGAAAGAAAGACACGAGTGTGTTAGACGTTGCTGAGCCGAAAAAGAAATGAAAGTGAACAGAAAAATAGATATCTATGAGAAGATGAGAAAAAAAATAAATAAATAGAAATTAAAGGGAAACGATAACAATAACAAGACATATTTGACTGAATTTTATCTTCACCATCATTTATATCGTTACACCTCTTCGTCATACATTAATTTTATTCTTGAGTATTTCGATGATGATCATCATTATCGACAGATCTTTATAATAGAAATATTATTATTATTATTTCAAATTAAATATAAATTAAATTTTACCTTTGATGATTTGTTCGTTGTGATTGTGGTCGATGAAAGAAATTATGTGATGTATAGAATTGTTGTTGTGATTGAATATGATATGGATATTTAAGTGAACTACCATTTGGATATTGTATCAACGGTTTATCCATAGGACCATAGCTAAAATTCATGTATATATATATATACAATATCTATTCTTTATATACATACTTCATTCGGCCATGATGAATCTGTCGCACTGATCGCTGTTCAGTTTGATGATCACGATAGATTGAACGCAATCTTTTTCGATAAATCAATGTACTTTCACTGACAGTAAGAATTTTTGATAGAATACTAAAAATGATATATATAGAAGATAATTTATTGTATTTTCTACTAACGAAGGTGCATTTTTTAATGTTGTATTTTGATCAGAAACACTGTGTAATAATTTATCAAATGCTTCACGAAATGCTGAATTAAGTTTTGGCGTTAACCAAGAAGCTTTACTAATATCATTTTCTAATGAAAATAAAAAATCAAATAAGATTTTTATTAGATTTTTGAAACATACTATCATTGAATGGATCAACAATACATAAATTACTAATTGTTCGATGTCCACAACAAAAATTTTTAAATAATTCTTCTTTATCAATGAAACCAGCTGGACGATCAGGTTGATGTGGTGTTTGTACCCGAATACCCAATTTAACATAATTAAAATAGACACCATATAATTCAAGAAAACTAATAAGCATATGACCAAGATTAGCATGTTCAACAGTACTATTTGTACTACTTGTTGTACAACTACTACTATTACTACCATTAATACCATTATTAAAATGATCATCATCAAGATCACTATTATTATTACTACAACTATTATTATCATCGGATGATATACATGATGCTGCTGATGATGATGGATATGATGTTGAAGATGAACAATCATCTGTAGTACCATTTTTTAATGATGATGCTGATGATGATGTTGTTGTTTTAATTGTTGCTGATGATGATGTGGACAAACCAGATAAAAACGATGATGATAATGATGATGACCAAAATGAATGTTGATCTTTTTTATAATAAGTCTAGGGAAAAATAAATAATTAGAAGAAAATTATTTTATTTTCAAATTTATTTTACCTGGAAAAAACACACTAACATAAGGATAAGAGAATAACTGCTAATACCACCTGTCCATACTTCATTGAGATTAAGTTGTAACAAATACTGTTTTAATACATAAACGAGATATTTCAATGATGGATAGACTTCCAAGTAATGCTAAAGAAAAACAATATACATATGAAAATTTCAAAAAGATAACATACAAGTATAAGTTGAGCACTTCGAAGACCATTATTCATATTAAAACTCATATCCACTTTAACATCCGTTCTTCGATCAGTTAATTTAATAATTGGTACTGTTGCACCATTCAATAATTGAATACCTTCTTGTGTACATATACGATGACGACAAAAAGCTTCACGTAAAACTAACATTAATGCTTCAAGCTCTTCTGGTCGCCATTGACGACCATCTTTTGAATGAACAATTAAATCAATATCACTTAAAAATAAAAAAAGAATTTCATAACAATTCTTTTTCTTTCTTTCATTTCTCAAACCTCATCGGTAAATATAAACCAGTTTTATAACTACCGTAAATATCAACCTTAAATAAATAATAAATAGAAAATAGAAAATTTCATTATTTATAAAAAAAATTTCTTACAGAAGCTGTAGGTAAATATTGATGGATAACATTAGTAATACGATTAATAACTTGTTGTCGTGCAGCATGTTCTTCTTCAGTTGGAATCATAAATTGATAAAATTGTAAAATTTCATAATGAAGACGATAGAGACGAACAGACATAAATGGTGGTGAACTAAATAACCAAACGAAAAATATTATCAAAAAATGAATCGAATTAAACTAACGTCATAAGATCAAAAAGTTCAACAGGTATTTGTGTATGTCTCCATGGATAGCATACATGTCGTTGATCCAATTGCATTGGTGTACGTCCCAAAAGAAAACGATCATGTAGATATACACCTCGATCGTGCATGATTTTCTTTCTTAAATATTTTTCTTGATCAATGACTTGTCACTAAAATAATTCGTTTAAATAAATATGTAAGTAAAAGAGAAAATGTCGATTGTTTTCTTCAGACATATACCTATTCGTTAAATGATTTTATTTCGAATGGTAATACTAGAAATAGAATGAAAGAAAGAAAAATACATATATTTTAAATCGAGGGTTTAGAATAATATAAAGAAAACGAAATGAACGGATGATACTTGAATATTATCATATCGTTTTATATAATCTATGTCTTCACAAAATGACATACGAATAAGTAAAGGAAAACGAGAGAAAAAAAAAGAGAGCAAGATGATCACTTAAATATTTGTTTGTACACACAATAACAACCAATACTGACGGTAAATCGTTTGTAAGCAACCGCAAACATACATAAGGAATATATTTTTCTAGAGAAGAGTAACAACACGTGTATATGTCTATGTATGAATGCGTAGTTGTTAAAGAAAATTACAGATTGGTTCGTATCTATCCAATCAAAAATAAGTTATTATTATAATAAACAATTGAAAATAACCGTTATAATTTTCCTATCTAATAAAAATTTTCAAAAATCATAAACTTAATAATTCCATAGAGAATCATTTTTTTTTCATTCAAACAGGTCATTATTGATTTATAAAATAATTCATTTGATTTCTATTCAATAAAAATACGTTTTTTTTATATATCGACAAGATTTATATTCATTGATATTGCTGAATATTATACGAACAATATTTAGAAACATTGTTGAAATTGCATATTTTATTAAATAAATGAGGATTTTGTTTGTTTGGTTAAAGTTTATTTGTTACGAAACATACACAAAACATAAAATTAAACTAACGAGAACGAAAATATGATCGTTGAGACATAACATCATTTTCAACATTTTTAAAAGCCCATTGATGATCAACAACGAGTAAACCTTCTCGTTCGGCTTTAAATGCTTTTGATGGATCTTGTGGCATTGATACAGCAGCCATATTCATTTGATCTTGCATCATTTTTGTTTGATCAGCTGCATTATTTTCTCCAAGAAGTAGATTATTAATACCACGTTGTCCAAATATATTTATTGCATACCAAGAAACAGATGATAACCTAATTAAATATATTAAAATAATTTTTTACAAAAAAAAATAATTTCCTTTACTTACCAACTAGCGTCAAGTGTTGCTAATTCAACACCACGTTGTAACATTGGTTTAAAACGATATGTTAATGGAAATGGTACTTTAGCTAAAAAATAAAAATTTATTTTTTTATTTGATTAGAATTCAATAGGATTAATGTAGTCAATATACGGGGTTAGTACAGTGGTGGATCTAGGATTTGGGAAGGGAGGGGGGAGGGGGTCGATCGCCCCTATTGCCCCCGCCTAAATGCGCCACTGAGTTAGTACATTTTTCCATCGTTATATTCTGATCAAATTAGACTATTTCTACTTAATCTCTAAAGATACATACTGCAAAGAAAACCACTAAATGCCCAATTGATAACACCACCAATGACGATCATAGGTACCATATTTGATATATTATTTTTAAGCATTTCAGTCATCATTGTTGGATCTAGAAAATAGTCATATAATATAAATAAAATAGATCTTTTTTTGTTTAACCTGTAATTGGATTTCTAATAGGTGCTTGTCGACCTTGTTGTGTAGTTAGATAACCATTTTCTTCATTAACGAAAAAATGCTTTCGCATAACAAAACCCTATTGAATTGAATAAATAAATATTAAAATAAAAATACAAAATTAATTTAACCTCTTTTGGAATATATTTTCCATTTTCACGTAAAATACGAGTACGAATAAGTGCTTGACTAAAATAAATATTACAAAATTTTTCATAGACAAAAAAAACTAGAGAAGTATATTACCTATCAGCTACTTGTTGTTTATCAACTGGTTTTTCACCAGCTGTTATTATTGAAATATAATGTCTAAGCATTCCAACAAAAAATGTTATAACCACAATAGGCATAAATACCCAAAATCGAATTGCTGAATCAAGTAATAACTCAGCCATTTCTTTTTATATCTGAAATTAATTTGAAAATATATATATTAGTTTTTTTTCATAGAAAATGAATTTTTATATAACGAGATATTATTAAAGGTTAATGTAGTATTTACGAACGATCACATTGATCCACTTGAACAGATATCATGAAATTAATTTCATCGAGAATATATGTATATAAATAATAATAATCATTTATCATTATCATATGTATAAGGATCCTCATCATCAAAATATTTTTCTTCTTCATCATATTCGCGTATTTTTATATTATCAAGATTGTCATTATTATCGATTGATGTATAATCAATATTAGAATCTTCACCATTAAGAAATTTTTCTAAAATAAAAAAAAATCATTAAGAGTTTTAAACAACAAGATATCTTTTCTTATAATACTGATGTAATTAAATCAGATAGATCAAGTAGAACTATTACGACATTTTCGTTAGTAATAAAAATAGATTCTCGATAAATGTTATATTTTTTTATACGAGATTTCTTTGTAAATATGTCTGTCATCTTGTCTAGGGACCAAGACTGCAATTGTCAGCTAATTCCTCAATGTTTTTATCAAGTATGAGACCAGACATTTTCTTATTTCTTTTTTTTCTTTAATTAAGAATTGACAAATTTGTTCTTTTATAGTTCAAGAAAAATCGTATAGATTGAATTTACAATCGAAAAAGCGAGAATTTTCGTGAACTTCATATTTTTTTTGCATAGATGAAGACAACACCAATATTATTCTTAAGCTTTAATCAAGACCGGGACCAAAAAAAGTGATTTTGCAGTTCCCTAATCTTGTCACTCTCTATGTTATGATGATTTTATGATAGTTCTTTTTACCTTTTTGAATAGCAAGAAATTCTTGTCGATACAACTCTCTTTCTGCACTTGAATATTTCGTTTCATCTTCTTCTTCTTCATCTTCTTCACTTTCATCATCATCGTCTTCATTCCGAAATCGTTCTTCATTTTCAAATTCTTCTGCTACTCTTTCGTGATGATTCATAGATTCAAGATGTTCCATATAAAAATCAGCTAATACACCATCGGCAGTTTTTTTAACTAGCTGATTATTTGTATTATCATTATATTTTTCAATCATTTGTTCATAAAGTAATGGTGCTCGTTCTTTCATTGCTTCATCACTAAAATATGTTCCATTTGCTAATAATTGTTGCATATATGTAAAACGACGATTTGCACATATTTTATGACGATTTGGAGTTGCTATTTGACGAATATAATCTGCATTTGGATCAAAATATTGTTTTAATTCATCATCGGTTAATAATGAACCAAAACGATAGATAAAACTAGCTGGATTTGTTGTATATAAATCATGAAGAATTGTATGTTTTTGTTCATATGTAAAATCTGGTTCATTACGTTGTTGTGAAGCAATAGTAACATTACTTGAACAAATTCTATCAAACATCGATGTTATATCCATCTAGAAAAAAAAATGAAAAAAACAAACAAAATGGAATTGTTAGAAATTAATTTTTTAGATTAGTATTAATAAAATCGTCTGCTTTTTTCAATACACTTTGTGTATTTTCATGTTTAACTAAATCGCAAGCACCTTGTAAATTTGACCAACTTAAATTTTGATGTTCATCGGAAAGATTTATTTTTTGTTCAGCATTATGAACACGTGCTAAAAAATAATAAACATCTTTTGGCTTTCCATTAACTTCATATGTTATTTTTTCTTCAAATTTATCATAATATTCAAGATCATTTTTATCTAAACCAGCTTCTTCTTTTGTTTCACGTTCAGCTGCTTGTAATGGAGATTCATCACCATCCAAATGACCTAATCAAAAAATAAAGTATCTATAAAAATAAACAATTCTTACCTTTCGGTGGTGTCCAATGATGTTGACCATATGATGTTTGTAATAATAAATATTCGATTGCACTATCTTTAGTTTGTCGAAAGATGATAAATCCTGCGGCTGCACTCATATCTAAATATTCAAAAAATGTTCTATAATCATATTAACCCATATCTTATATATATATATATATGTATGTATATATTATACCGTTTAGTGTAGAAAAAAACCAACAACAACAACAAGCAAAAACAATATTTATTTTGAGACGAAAAGAAAATGGGTAGAATAAAGAAGTAATGAACAACTACGAATAAACGAACAATCACACAAATAAACGCGCAAAAAGAGTAAAACTGAGAGAAAATAAAAATAGAAGAATTTTTTCGTTTATTTTTTTTTTGTTTTCTTGTTTCATATGAGAAAAGAAAAGGAAATATGTGTATGGTAACAGTTAGATAAGTTCCATTTGATAGATTAATGTTGCTTTCTTTTTTTCTCTTTCGTTTTCTATTCAATTTTAACAGCTGCATAGATTTTTCTGACAAAGATGTATGATGCAATAAACCCAATTGTACCAGTTAAAATCCAAAATGTAAAACAGATCAAGAATGTATAACCAAAATAGAGCATTGTTGGAACAAATTCAGTTATATCAAGCTGGAAGAAAAAACAGATTTGTTTTTATTATAAGAATAAAATATAATATAGTCTGATTTTACTTTGGTAAAGAAGTAGAATATTGAATATGCAAATACATAGAATGCTGAACCTCCTGATGCAATAAATGATCGCCACCACCAATGATAATCTTCTCCGCATAATTGAAAGTATGTTATAACAATTGATATTTGTGAACAGGATACTATAGAAATCAAATCATTTTATTCGATTGTTAATTATTATGTTTGAATACTTACTGATTATAATAATAAAGACAAGAAAAAGAAAACCAAATAAGTAATAATATTGATTTTCCCAAATAGCCGAAAAGATGAAGAATAATTCAATAAACATCGCACCAAATGGAAGTACACCTAATCAATAAATTATTATTATCAAAAGACTAGAAGTTCGTTTTTAGTATCTAGATTTCATGTTACACTCGGTTTATATTTAGTTTCGATCTTAATCTGAATGCAGTAACTTCATTCCCCAATCATCAATTACTTACCGGCCATTAAAGTACTAAAAAAAAGAAACTATTAATTACATAACAAAAACTAATTTCTAATTTACCTTAATACTGGATGTAAAAACCATTGTTGTTCAGGCACTTGACGTGGTATTTGATTTGTTCGAACTGGTTGTTCATAAGGCTAAACGAATATCACGTATAGATTAAGAAAATCATTGTTTTTTTCTTATAGATACATACTTGTTTACGATAACCAAAGTAAAAGCCAAGACAAACTAAAGGAAATGAAATGCCTAACCACATAACAAGTATAGCAAGCATAGTTGAAAATGGAACAGCACCCGATGAACGTTTTCCCCAAATGAAAAAATTCAGAAAAAAGCCAATACTAAATACAACTGCTGGATATAATGTAGCAGTCTAAAAGTACAAAAAAAACAAAGAGATTTATTGAATATGATAGAATTAATACATACTAAAGCTGCTGTTCGTTTCCAATGTGAACCCTTGATTGTTTTATATATTCGGCCAGAATAGAATCCAGCAACAAGCCTAAGAAAAATAAATACATCCGCCAATATTTTCTTTCTTAGAAGAACTTACCCCATAAATACATAAAGAAAACAAGCTGCGGTAACCAATGCACCGCGTGATGATGGTGAAAGCATTCCAAGAGCAGCAAAGGCTAAAGAAAATTTTGTTTTTTTTTAATATAGATTTTGTTTTAAATACAAACCAATAACAATAAATGACATTAGGAATATCTGAATACCAGATCCGACTAATGCAGCAAGAACATTCTTACGATGTGGTGGACGAAATACATCACCATGTACTCTAGAAATAATTAAAAGAATATTTTTTTCAAAATAAAAACGAGATAAAAACATACAATTTCCAACCAGTTTCTTCAGTGACATCATCCTATAAAGAAATGAATTTATGTTATTTTTATTATTATTTATTGTATAAAACTAACTGAATCTTCTTGATTGTATCGTGCAATATCACGACGAAGTGTTTTCACAATAATCATTGATAATATGCCAGCAAGAAAAAATACAACAATAACTGAATTTACAATTGAAAACCAGTGAATTTGTACATCAGTCATTGCTAAATAAGTGTCCCATCTATGATTAAATAAAACAATATATTTTCATTTTATCTGATTGATTGTGAAAAAAATTATACGATGACGTAACTATTTCGAGTTGTATACTATAAGAATAGAGTGATTAATCAAGTGTGCTAAATTGTATTTTCAGTATACTGACGTAACTAACATGATCTTTTTCCTTTCGAAACAGAATAGATGGAGATTATTCAATTAGAAAGAAAGCGAATGCATCCGAGAAATCATTTTTTGTATAACAAATTCAATATATTGTTATTTCTATGTTTTACCTTCATAGGAAATGCAAATACACTGGCCAAATTAGATTAGAGTTTTTCTAAATGTACTATTCTTTCGTCAGAATTAAGCTAGAAAAACGAACATTCGCAAGTTTTCATTTCACTGAATCCTGTTGATAGATAAAATATGAAGTCGAATAATGTCCCAAACTTAGAAATGTTCGTCTATGAATTTAGGTAGAACAACTACTAATATTTGTAATTATAAGGCTTATTTGAAAGTGTTTATATATAACATAAATTATCTTATTACGCTCTATACAACATATGAAAGTATCGATTCTAGCTCTTAATTAAGGCTAAGACATGTAATCATAAATATTTTCTATTTGACTTCATTTCAATGAGTAAATCGTTTATGAAATTGGCCAATCGAGGGTTTTCATATTATTTTCCCAAATCAGATACATCTTATAGGGTATTTTATATACTGAAATTAAACAAATAATGAAACGTCAACGTCATCACTTTCATGACAAACTATCATAGTATGACTCAGCGAATAAATATTTCGACTATTTTAAAAGAATGATTCATCTCGATCTGATCAAATCTAATATTAATTGTGCAAATAACTTGAAAACTTCGATAAAAAATACTATTCTAGTTTATCTATTAAAATTCTTTTCTTTACATACCGACTTGCCCAACGTGTTTCACTATATGCCCATTCAACTTCATATGTCATTGAAAGTTTATTTTCTTCTAAAAAAATAATATTTCTTTTTAATCTTCATTTTTCCTCAAAAGTCTCACCTTTTGGATCAATTTTTTGCATTGCTTGACCATTTTCAATTGTACATGTACCATCAGGCTTAATAGCTATACGTTTTGAATCAATACTCTTTGGTTCAACTTCAAAACCAACAACCCGATAAGCTTCACTGGAAAGAAAACATACAATCATATTCAATTATGAAAACTAATAAAATCTTACTCAGATTCTTTATGATAGAATAATTTGATAACTAAATGATTGTTTATAAATGTTTCATCACTTTGTTTTGTATGCATTCCTAAACGATAACCATGTTCATATAAGATTTCATGTGTATCAACATTTTGAAATTTCGTTGCACACGGAAGATTATCCACAAGACTAAAATAAAATATTATAAACAAAAACAAAATTCTTTCTTTTTCTTACAGATGAACATAATAATTATTTCGTATACGTTTTCCAAGTACAGCACTTTGTTCTTTCGATAAATTAATATCATGACAAAGTGTTTGACATTGAACATTAACATCCATTGCTACCTAAAACAATTAAAAGAATTTTAAGTAAAAAAAAACAAAATCTTTATTCAAATTACTTTATATTTTGTATTAACAATTCGATCACCTCGAAGAATTTCACCTAGAAAAACAAGCAGACAATACATTTTTTTGTATGACGAAATAAAATACATTGTACTAACCAAGGTTTTCTGATTTATATTTTGTTCCGTTGGATGGTTTACAATGAACAGCTACATCATAATAATCATATGGTAATTGTGTCTTTGTACTTGTCATTTTAACAGCCTTTAAGAAAAGAATTGTTTCTTATTTGTATGATTTTAATCAAGAAATCATTTTTTACTTTAACTTCAACTTCTTCGTTTTTTGCAAAATCAAGTGGTGCTACACCGGGAATGTAGAATGTAACATGGGGTTGAATAAGAAGTACAATACATATAAATACGCGAAATATTATATTATCCATCTAAAATTTTATAGAAATAAAGTATAATAAAACATATAAGAAATCGAATAGATGCAATAAACTTAAAATAAAAGGTTACCAATATAAAGAAGACAAGAAAACGTCAAAGATGAAAAAATAATAAATAAATATTTGATGCATTATCTATTTGTGTACGCTGTAAAATTATGTTTATTTACAAAAAATGATCTTTTTCGTTTTTGTTGCCATTGAAATATTTAGAATAATATAAAATATTTATTATGAATCAGAATTATTCGATTTATTTACTTTGTATTAATCAATAGAAAGTCATTGTAGAGGTCGTTATCTAGCAACTATTTATGTAATGGCGAATGAGTTGAAAATTAATATATTCAGTATACAAATTATATTTTCTTGATTTGAAATAAAAACATTGATATTTAGATATGTTCTTTAGAAAATTTAATTCAAAATGGTCAATGTTAGTCAAAAAAAATTATTTTTTGAAAAATATCCTTGGGGAATAAAATTGAAGAAAAGAAATCATGTTGAAGTGTTTATTGAATTAATCAACAGTCCTTGACAATTAGAACAGAGAGATACTATGCTGAAATGGAGGTAGTGCATAGCTGTTCGTAGAATAAATTTTTTAAGAGATAATTCTATTGAAGAATGTCAATATTTCATTCCATACATATTCGTAATTACTATAGTTCATGCGATAAACTACGTCGATAACAGTAGTTACATAACCAAAAATATTTCTCTAAATTATCATTGAGTAAATGTTAGCGATTAGTAAAATTGTATTTCGTAAATTATCTTCAATGATTCTCATTCATTTAACCCTTTACCCCTAGTGGATCATTTTTGACCCATTTGTAAAAAGTTTTTAGAAAATAAAGGAAGCATGATACTCGAAAACTCTCAAAACAATATTTGTAGGGAACTCCATAAGCTATCGACTGGTAAAAAGAATATTTTGTTTTGTTGCTCTATCTTAGAGATATATGACTTTTAAAATCGGTAATTTCGAAAAAATATGAAAAAAATGAATTTTCTATCTCTAAGCAATATATATCTCGGAGGCATGCTGTGTGATTTACATCGAGGAAAGTGTCCACTAGTTGATTATGTAAGTTTCAAAAATTTGAAAAGATTTAGGTAGGTAAGATATGTTAAAGCAGACAATGGTCACTCGAGGATTTCAGAAAATCAACACCTTAGATTCTCAACGTCCACAACCCGATAATAACGTTTTGTTTAAAACATTTAATATTATAGAGTGAACAATTCTCTACAAAATAAGACATCTCCGAGCTCTCTAAGATGTTTTTTGCCGAACTAGATGAGTATTACGGAAAGTCCCTGAGATTTTTTTCAAGTCGATCCCCCTATCCCCCGCAGCAAACCATCGTAAAACTCAAGTCTGTTTTTGATCGATCTGTCCATACTTTTAGCATACTGGAAGCACCAATACTCTATTCCAATCGTTGTTTCATCAGTAGCTCTTCTAGAACCACTCCAGGGGATAAAGGGTTAAAATTCAAAAAACTTAATGAGTAAGTATATCATATTAAGTGAAACTATTGAAAAATATTTATAAAATTTTATTCAGATAATTAATTGTAAAACCTCTTATCGGTAGTGGAGTATATGAATGAAATGGCACTATCGCAATAGATCAAGGCTAAGAACATTTATCACTATTTCATTAATTAGATTAGCAAGGACTTTTTTTTCAAAAATAAATTGATGAAAGAAATTAAGTGAACTGCTTAACATAAGGGTTTTATAGGTTTAGCTTAAACATTTATAAATTGACATAGTAATCCGATTGAAAATATAATGGTTACAGACAGTAATCATGAATCAATAGAACAAGAAATGGTTAAATTTTGTACCGAATATCAAATTTAGGTGAGTATAATAGACATGTTATTCAAAATAATAGATCCCATCATATACTTTAATGATATATGTATATCATCAAATAGTAATGATAAAGTGGTTGTCACATTGTAATCGACAGCTACATATACTTATAATATATTAGCATTCATTTACAGGAATGAGATAAAAGGAAAAATATCTTAGTCATAAAATCACAAATGAAAGTAGTTTTTTTTTATGGTAATGAATGTCGTTGTATGCATATCAACAAAGAACAAAGATGGGGATTTTAGATAAGATTTTCAATGCAGAATAATATCTAAAAACAAATGCACTGAAGGACATTTCTTAGGAGTGTAATCCAATACAAACCTATATCATATTTGAAACTATTAATCTCTACATAATATATATAGATGCACTAATAATTAAGATATAAAATAGAAAGTTCTTGTATTATGTATATATGATATTTGTTTGATTATAAAGTATCATAAGTAAAAGAATACCTTGTTCTTTCCTTATACTAAAAATAGCTAATAATTGATGGAAAATAATTATCTATTTAAGAAAACCTTTTTTTTTTGTCTTGAAAAAACCTCTCATGCAAATATCCTTAACATACTGCTATGATAAATATACATTAAACCTTTCGGCACCTAACATGCGTCTAAGCGTGTAAAGCATTGTCTTCAAAAAATTAACCAGAATGAATGAGTTTACAGCGAAAGATCAGTCGACATGAAAAACGTGACAAACTATTTCCGTTACAAAATATTGGTACTCAGACAGCGACATCAACTTTATGTCTTATAATTTTTGAAAAAAATAGTCATCCCAAAAAGGTTAAATGATGTGTTCAATGAACAAATTTAATTTAAGAAATAGAGATACTATTTTAAATAAAATAATCTTTCTGCACGTGTAAACATCATTTCTATATAAAAAAAACATATAAGAAATCCTATACTTTTCCTATTATACGTATACACCATTGTGACTAAAGAAAAACAAACGCACTTTTTGACTTTGCACCTAATAATTATTTTCTTCATATAAAAGAAATATGTCCGCAAATTATTATATCATTATTTATTATATACATTAACGTGTTTGATATGCTCTTTGTTTTCTTGTTTTACTAAAGAGTATAATCATTTTAATACGAACATACGAACAACAAGTACAAAGCAAAAAAAAAAAGATTCAGTTTGAATGAGAAAGACGTGTTAATGAAATAGGCATTAAACGCTGACTTAGATAAATGCTATTTTGACGTTCTTGTATAATTTTTTGTTCTCGTTTGTCAAAATAACGACGAAAAATTGAACAACTAAATAGACGAACAACTTCACTTCGAAATCGTTGACCACATATAGCATAAACAAAAAAATTAACACAAAATGATGCAAAAAACCAGAGACGAGCGATATCAACAGCACTACCCATCCATGGTGGTTGTTTTGGAACAATTAAAAAACAGAATATTAACAAATGATAAGGTAAATTGAAAACTAGAAATACAGTTGAAGCAGCTAATAACATCTTAGTTGTTTTAGCTGATGCTGTTGCTCGACATTGTGTCGAACGAATACGAATTGGTTTATTAGTATGATATAATGATGCACGTCTTGGATTTGGTATAAGTGATACTGAACGATTTTGTAGACCTTTATATCGTTGCATTGGTCGAACACATAATAATGAACGATTTTGTTGTTGTTGTTGTAAAAGACGATAAACTTCTTGATTAACACTATTTTTACTAATACTGACATTATTTATTTGTGTTGTTGGAGCACTTTCTGTAACTGATTGACCAGATGAATTTGTTGATGATTTTGCTGATGGTGTAGCTATTGAAAGTTTTTGTTTATATGTTAATTTTGTTTGAAGTTTATATACAATAGCTAAATTCATACATGTAATCAATGAAAATGGTATAATAAATGTAAATAATGTATCCAGAATAATAAATGGAAATAATAATTTTTTAGTTTCATCTTCTTTACAAGTAACAGTATTCGTTGTATTTGAATGAGCTGTTGTTGTTATTACAGGAAATGATAATGAATAAAATAAACATGCAAATATTAATAATGCTAATGCTAAAACACGATTTGTACGTTGTTTTAGAAATGTTGTTGCTTTTATTGGAAATAAAACAGCTATAAGACGATGACTTGTATAAGCCAATGTAAAATTTGATGATAAAAATGATGCTATATGACTTAAATAAATTGTTGACATACAAACAGGTGTAGTCATAACTGGCACTTGTAATTGATCCAGTAAAGCAACAATAAGTATAAGTATAAATACAAGATCAGTAACAGCAAGACAAGTAAGAAAAAACGATGAACGTAATGAACGTAAACGTCGTTGAGAAAAAACAATAATTGTTGTTGTATTACCAATAAGACCAAGCAATGCAATTGTAAAATTATAGACAAGTTGAAGTTTGGATGGCGATTCCATACTTATATTCCCGATACGAGGACTAAATGATGATAATGATGGTGGAGCAGATAAAGTAACAGGCGAGAGAATTGCTGTTAGAGAGAAAAGAGAATCGTTTGATGCATTGAACGCATCGAATAAACTAGAATAAAAAAGAAAAGAGAACCTTATTTTTTTTCATCTATTGAAGAGAAATTATATTTTCAGTATTTTAATTCTTCTCATATTATCAAACTAATTAAAAATCAAATACTATTAGTAAATATAAGAAAAAAACATCTCTTTATTAAGTAGGTCGTCACGTTGAATACCTTGGAAAGAAAAAAAAACTAGTGTAAATTTGTCCTTACTTAAATTAATTTAACAAAAAGCAAGAATAATAACCACATCCATTTTCATAGGTTTTCATTTACTAAAAAGAAAATCCGTCATTTTTCTATTTGATATGTCATACTAATTATCATGGAAGATAGAATATTCATCTATATTACTGAAACTCATCGAGTTCGCATGTTGCGCATATCAAATAAAAAAAATCTCCTTTATCATTCATAGAAAAAAAAACAACTATTCTTTGTTTTAAAATATATTGCGTGTATTCGAACGAGTATTACTAATAGAATGTTCTTTTTTTTTAAGGTATTTTTAACAAAGACAGAATACATGACATACGACTGTAGGAAAATGATTACATCAGCAGAGAAAAAGAAAGTGTTACCGTGATCCATTAGATTAGTAAAACATGTTATTTATGGTCTTATTAATAAATAACTCTCATGTTACCACGTCTTAGATTTATATTTTGAAAGACATGACTTTGTTTTCTTTTTTTCATAAATATAACAAACCAATTTATAATATATAAATATCTTTTGTTTTTAGTTTATAAACAAAATCAACGTAATAATCTCTTCTAATAACAGTAAAAGGACTTCTGCGTGATAAATGAGTCTTCTTTTGTGTGCGATGCTTATGTCATATATGAGTTTGTGTTTATAAGATTAATGCCGACTAAAGAAAGCATTTTATCATTAAAAAAATAAAAATGAAGTTAATAGATAATAATTAGAGAAGCTATACCGTTAACATCACCGCAATTCTGTATATGTATATATAAATGTAAAAAAAAGGTTATTACCGGTGACTATTTGTAATCATTCTTTTGTCCATTCTGATTATTAGGTTTTTTGACGATTGATTAATCGTTTTGATCTGTATATCGTATTAATCTTATATTATTTTGTGGTTGTACACGAATGGATAAAAAACGTCTCTAATTACGCATGCAGCCTGATCATTTGTTCTCTTCTCTCTTTTTCTTTTTTGTTCTCTTTTTTTTCGGTGCTGATAGATGACTACAATACATTGACTTATAAAATGAATAAACTATGCATAATAACAGATATATGATAATATAAATAGAATGAAGGTTAAAAAGTCATAGTCTCAAGACCGTTTACAGTTAATGATCAATTTATGACAGCCTTAATAGAGATAAACTAATGAGCAATAATTATAAAGTTAACCTTCGAATTATATAATACTGATTATATTTCACACATAAGATTTTTTCACATATTACTTACACAATTATGTTTGTTCGTGAAAAAAAATATTTTCCTATAGATTATTTTTTTTTTAAATCTCAGATTAATAAAGATTAAATTTCCATATAGAGCATTCTTATTAAAAAAAAACACCTTCAGAACTAATAAATCATTAACATCTTATTGATATAAACAGATCTTCTTTTTTTTTTACTTCAACTAACTAAAAAGTCAAATCAAATATAATTCAACATATTTAACCTCTATCTTATGCATCTGATGCAATACGTCATCCTATTTTGATCTAAATTGCTAATGTTTTTTTTTGTAAGTGATAGATCTTAATGTTATGCACGTAGTGAGCTTACATCCGTCGACGCCTCGGATTGTTTTTGTTGAATAAATAAACAAGAACAAAAAAACAATCAATATTCGTAGTCAAACTTTTATTACCGTGATACAATCATATCCGTTTTCGTCTATTCGATTGCAAATAATGTTTTACTCAAATACTGCCAAGTATATTATTTTACAAAAGACTGATCTCTACATATTCTCTGCTTTTGACGAAATCCAGAGAACAATTTATATTAACATATTTTAGAATAGACTAGAACAAAAAAAAAATTTTTACCATTCGACAAAAAAAATCTCATGCTGTGAAATAATGAGAGATATTTTAATACGTTATCACTAAAGTATATATATGTTGATAAGCGAAACACTCACGTATCAATATTTCCGCTCCATCAAATGTTTGACAAACCATATGTATAGAATCGTTTTGTTGTGAATCAATAACTAATGAATCAACAGAGTAGAAATGATCGGTTGCTGCGTCTGAAAGGCGTAGAAAAATAGAAACATAAGAAAACACTCATTCTTCATTGAAAAAAAAAGAAAGATCGAAATAATTCTGTAAACTGAAAGAATATATTTTAGATGCGAAGAAACAAAATTAGAAATGATGTATTGAATATGTCAATACTTGCATTTACAATCATTCATACATGATATAGTTGTCTAGTCTGATTAATATCAAGTCTTTTCTTGATTAAGAAATTAAGTATATTCAAGTGCAAATACCGAAGAAAAAAAAATCGATCAAAATAGTTTTATTTATCGGAAAAAAAAGATTATTAAACATTAGAAATGAATATTCAACGTAAAAATTCTGTAAGAAAAAAAAATAAGTAGCTCATATGTCATTTTGCTCTTCTCCTTCCCGGATTGATATATATATATGTTTTTATGACTATAAGAAAAAAATGCAATATGAACCTCATGAAAACAAAAGATCAGAAAATAAATATGAGACGATTCCGGTCTTTTTTCTATCTTGATATATAGAAGATTTCCTTTCTTTTTGTATTTGTTGAACATACGTAAAGTTCGTTGTCTAATTACAGTTGTCATAATAATACAAACAAAACGCCTACATTAAAAAAAGATCAAATGATATTTGATGAACTCGTTAATTAAAACACATTTTCCATAATAGATAAACAATAGATTGTTTATAGAACTATTCGCAACAGATTGATATTATCTAACGAGAAATTTTATGCTCTCAAGTGAAAATATGCGTAACAGATTAATCACATATTTCTGATTTGTAAGTTATGATTGGAAAAAAAAATGTACGATATAGATATTGTTATCCCGATAATATTCACACGAAATGTATGTCCTACTGTGCAATCAATCAATCAATCAAAAACACTCCACCTCTTTTCTTGTTTCATGTTGACTAGGCATTTGACAGTTTCCAACTGTGCAATATTGAATATTTGAATAAAACATGAATATAAATGATTGTATGTGAATTTAATCTTTCGTTTTTATTTTTCTTCATTCTTTTTTTCTTTCCAAAAGAAATATATTTTTTCTATTGATGATTATCGTACTCGATGAAGTTGACATATTAATTAGTTCAATGCACGAGTCTCCCGTTGTTTTAATATACTCGCTTTCCAACTGTTACTTCTTTTATGACCTACACAATCAACTGATGGCAATACCTTCAAGTCATTTTTTAAATATATCATAAAATGGATAGAATGAAAGCACAGCAACAAACATCAACAAATAAAAAACGTCCATCAACATTTGCTGTTAAACGAACAACAACATCAACAATAGTTCAAGTTGAAAAAACACGTCGTGTTGCAGCTAATGCACGTGAACGTCGCCGTATGAATGGTCTTAATACAGCATTTGATCGTCTTCGAACTGTTTTACCATCATCAATGTTTCAACAACAAAGACGTTTTTCAAAATATGAAACATTACAAATGGCTCAAAGTTATATTGCTGCACTTCAATCAATTTTACAACTAAATACATCATCATCAGATAATGATCAAAGTCTTACAAATGTAAGTAATACAACAGATGACGATATGGATAATCAAACTCATGACTATTAAGATAAAATGAACTATTTAATTAATTTGTATTGTAATCATAATCATTGTATTTTATCAAAAAAAAAGAAAGAAAAAGGTTATGAATTGACAAAAAAAAAATAAAGAGAGAGAAAGAGCAATAAAGCAAAAGTAATGAAGCACAAAACCTGACACATACACATAAGAAAGGCGTAATAAAAGAAAAAGCCAAGGCTAAAGCATAGAAAAAGAAAAAAAGACAATACGATTAGATATTGATAATTTAATCTAAACGAGTAGTATGATGTCGTTAATGTGATTGCATAATGTTTGGTAATGTATTATT